GGTCGACTAGAACAATGGAATTGGCTGAAAATAGGGCTCAAAGTGGACTAATTTGCTTATGCATAAATATCACTGAGATCGCTAACTTTGCAAGAGTGTAATTCTGTAAGTTTTCCATCAAATTTCATATTTTTGGTGTCATTACCATTAGGAAAAGATTCTCTATCATTTTTTATTTATTTATTTTTGTTAACACATAGCGAGAGTTTAGAACCAGGGGTCCAGCAGTGAAAGGGTTAAGTGCTGGATAAATGAGATTTAATATAGGTAGAGATGTATAATAGATGACCTGTAAAAATTTTCACACAGCAGGCTGACAAAAGACTCCACTCTCAAATTCTGGGCAGGGAGAGACATACGAGTAGGTATTCCTACACTAGTTACTCCTCTACTCACAGTTTCCGAAACAATAATTCACCTGAGCATATTTTTTAAGCCCCAGGTGTAGACATCCTTTCAAAATATTAAAGCTTACATGAGCTCTTAGAGAATTTCAAAGAATTTACCTTGTGAGCTTTTTATGGATTCTTTCTGCAAAATTTTTATTTTGGACAGATGTACAACATGTCCATGAATCATGTCGTTTTGTTATAACATTGATGAGAGAGAAAAAATCAATTCCCGGCTGGGGCCACTGTCTGTGTGGAGTTTGCATGTTCTCCCCATGTCTGTGTGGGTTACCTCCCACATCTCCAAGATGTGCATGGTAGGTTAATTAGCATGTCTAAATTGTTCCAGTACAAGTTGATAATGGTGGATGTGTGTGCAAGTGTGCCCTGCTATGGAATGGTGTCCTTCCAGGGTTGGGTTCTGCCTTGTGCCCTGAGCTGCTGGGATAGGCTGTGGCCACCCATGACCCTGAAATGAAATAAGGGGTTGAAAAATGAATGAATGAATGAATACAGATTATTGTAAAAATAAAAATTCATAAAGTATACAAATGCATGTCAATAAACAATGCAGTATGAAAGTGCACAGCAAGCACGCCATATTTGTTATTGTTTTTTTTTGAACTGTGAGGTGGCAGGAAGTGTTCCTTACAGTTTTTGCTTTTCAAAACACTTATTCCTTGATCTAACCCTGTTGCAGTGCCATAAGAACTTCACTCTTGGTTATATCAATTAGCCTATGGTAAAATTGGTTTTGTTATATGTCGTTTCGTTAAAGTTGCAGTTTCCAAGAACCTATCAATGACATTAAGTGAAGACTTGCTGTGCTGTACTTATCTCGCAGGTTACAGGTTGCACTCCTCCCAAGATGCATAAGGAAGTGGTAGTCAGAGTGCTGCTACAAAGAAAAAATGAACATAAAAGAGTTACTGAAGTAAAAATATACTATATATTATATATGGGGTAGTTCGGTTTTTCACAAGCAGCACCTATCTATTCTATCAACGTACCAGCAGTATCCCACCGAGGCTGGGTGGCCCAAAAGGAAAAACTTAAGTTTCTCCTTTCAAATTTAGTAATATATACAGGAGAAGGGGTTACTAGCCCCTTGCTCCCGGCATTTTAGTCGCCTCTTACGACACGCATGGCTTACGGAGGAAGAATTCTGTTCCACTTCCCCATGGAGGTCAAGCAGCACCTATGTGATAAATTTCCTAAAGAACGCTGATGTATCTCATTTCTTCCTCTTATTTGTATTTTTAAAATGATCTTCTTATCATGCTAAAAGATCACATTTCCTATGACCTAGACATATTACATGCATGTTAAACTTTTTAGAATGTCAGCAGACTTCATTCCAGTGTCTTTGGAATAGTTCAGATAACACTGTTCTCAGCTGAACACACACTCTTAAATAGGTCCAGAGGTCAGTCTGATACATTGCAGAAAGCAAAACTTCAATTTGTATAGTCTCTTCCTCTTATCTAGGTTTCATGGGAAGAAATGCTATTTGTAAAGGAGGGAATTGTTTAAAGCACCTTCTCACCTTTCCAAGATTTTCAGAAACTAAGACAGTTCTTCCCCAGTTCCAGTTCCAGAGCACACTCCCTCAACAAGAGGGATAAGATAAAATTTTAAATACGCATGTGGGTTTTTATTGTAAGTTTATATACAGTCAAGTCCCCTGCATCCAGAAAACACTTGTGTTGAGGCCATTTCAGTCATGCAGATTTTCCAGCTATTTGAAATCCCCCCTCATAGCTTATGGAAATAAGTTATGTTTATTACTTTGCAAATAATGTATTGATATGAATAGAAAGGACTGGAGAGGGCTATGGATCAAAAATGATGCACCTTCTGATTGGTTCATATATAACTACATTTTCTAATTGATCCACTTTAGGCTTTGATGAAATTTTCCTTCAACACCTTTAACAAAATATTCTTGACCATAATACTGTTTTTTTTTACCCCTTCTCCTGTATACATTTCAATATTTAAAAGGAGAAACTTTTGTTTTTCCTTTTAGGTCACCCTGCCTCAGTGGGATATGGCCAGTTTATATAACAAAAAAATAGTTTTTTATTAGGTAATCATTATTTGCTAAATATCATTGAGTGTTACTTTTCCACTATTGTGTTCTGGCATTAAAACAGTGTAATGCTATTTTTTTGTTAGTTTACAAATGTGTATTTTCTCTTGCAGTGTTACTACAACTCGCTTATGTTTCCCTCCTTTGCTGGACCAAGATGTATCCATAAACTTCTGTAAAGATTTAGAAGCCATAGCTGCTGGGTGTTAAAAATAATCCAGTAATAATGTGAGCACAGTGAGTTTGTTTATTGCTGGATACTAACTGAAGCTTCCCGGAACAGTTTGCAACTAACCCCATCTAGCAGGCACATAGCATAACTACTAGCAAGTAGCAGAAATATTAAAATTAGTAAATCTCAGATAACTGGTTTCTGGATAAATGGGACTTTACTGTACACTATATACCTAACAAACTTAGGATTTATAGTTATTCTGGACTTTCTTAAAAACTTCAGATCTTCCAGTCAGTGTGAATTTTCTTAGAGATTGCATAAGAGCATTGGTATTACAAAAATAACCTGCCTGTAATTCTGGCTTTTAAATACAAATAATAATTTTTTAATTTTGTTTACAGCTGCCGGTAATACCATTTGTAGTCATAGCTTGCTCTTTCCAGATATGTTTAAGCTGCTTTTAAACTCTTTCCGGTGTTCCATAATTAGACAGCTTCTCAGTGGCCCCTGGAACTGGCCTTAACTTTAATTAGCAAAATCCACTCTTTTAATTATTACATTCATGGGGAGCACTAAATCTGTGGGGGTCATACAGTGCCTGGGGAGTGGTAGGCAGTCAGGTTTGATCCAAGGAGAAGGAGAACAGGTAAAAATCCACTAAATATTCTGTTTAGTACATGAGAATTAAAAATTTACTCATGGCTTTGATTTTGGGAACAGTCCATAATTTTATATCCTTTCCTACTCTCTTTAACAAGCAGTAGACTGCTGAACTGTGTAACCAAGACAGATATCGAAATACAGAGATTTCCCATTTTATTAGATGTTCAACTTTGAAAAAAAAAATGCCAATAATTTGATAATGTAACTTTTGAGCCACTTTAAACTTAAGGTGCTGATGTCTTTTAGGATATTAGTCAGTGTGATTACTACAGATTACCTCTTCTGATTGTCTTCGATCATTCAAAGCTGGTATATCTTAATGGAAGTTTTGAATTGATTTTGGGTTGTGTTGGTGCCAGTTTGCCATTTTTGAGGAAATTAGGATACTATATTACTTTCCATGTGATAACTAGTGAATGTCTCTTCTGATTGGCTTCAAATCTTCAGTACTAATATTTAAGTGTATTATAGTGTTGGGGAGAGGGTTGAGATTAAATTATGTGGAATCAAATACAAAATGGGAGTTGATACAGTTACTTTTTGCTGATGATACTGTGCTTTTGGGAGATTCTAAAGAAAAGTTGCAAATGTTAGTGGATGAGTTTGGGAGGGTGTGTAAAGGAAAAGTTGAAAGTTAACATAGATAAGAGTATCAAACGATTTATGTAAAGAAAAATTGAATATCACTTTGGAGGGAGGGAGTATGGAAGAAGTGAATGTGTTCAGATATTTGGGAGTTACTTGTCAGCAGATGAATTTATGAAGGACGAGGTTAACCATAGAATTGATGAAGGAAAAAAGGTGAGTGGTGCTTTGAGGTATATGTGGAGACAAAACAGATTATCCATGAAGGCAAAGAAGAGAATGTCTGAGAGTATAGTGGTACCAACACTCTTACATGGGTATGAAGCATGGGTTGTAAATGCTGCAGCAAGGAGGCAGCTATAGGCACTGGAGATGTTGTGTTTAAGGGCAACGTGTGGTGTAAATATTATGCAGAGAATTCGAGGTGTGGAAATTAGGAGGAGATGTGGAGTTACTAAAAGTATTAGTCAGAGGGCTGAAGAGGGGTTGTTGAGGATGGAACAAAGTAGAATGACTTGGAGAACATATAAATTTGTAGTGGAAGGAAGGTGGGGTAAGGTTCATCCTAGGAAAGGTGGGAGGGAGGGGGTAAAGGAGGTTTTGTGTGCGAGGGGCTTGGACTTCCAGCAAGCATGTGTGAGCATGATAGGAGTGAAAGGAAACGAATGATTTTTGGGACCTGATGAGCTGTTGGAGTGTGAGGAGGGTAATATTTTGTGAAGGGATTCAGGGAAGCCAGTTAGCCGGACTTGAGTCCTAGGGATGGGAAGTACAATGCCTGCACTTTAAAGGAGGGGTTTCAGATATTGGCTGTTTGGAGTGACATCTAAACTGTTGTATCTGAGTGCCTCTGCAAAGCCAGTGATCATGTAAGAATGATGGTGAAAGTTATTTCTTTCTTTTTTGGGTCACCCTGCCTCGGTGGGAAACGACCGATGTGGTAAAAAAAAAAACTTATGGTGCACTCTGTACTGTTTCTTTTGCATTGATTGAGGTAGAGGAGGCTGGGCTTATGGGATATGGGGGATACTTTTCTTGGATCATTTCTAGTACTATTTTCTTGTTTTATCAATGTTGAAATACTATTTCTTCACAGATGAGAGTGGGCATGTGGCTGGTGGGCCTCGTGAGCTACCACTCCACCCTCTACATTCCTGGCGTGACACTTGTAATGAGGAGCATCTGGCTGAGTTAAGAGTCAAGTGCCAGGTGGGTGTTGTAAATAATTGTCAGGCACATAATGTGAATGTCTGTCTGAAATCCACATCCATTTTGTGACTAGAGGCAATGGTTTCAGTTCATGTTTAAAAACATGTTTCTAACTAGTTTTAGAATGTTGAATTCAAATCTGAACTTGAATTTTGCTCCACCAAGTATAGTTTCTTCTCCAAGGGGAAGTAGAAACAAATTCTTCCTCTGTAAGCTATGCATGTCGTAAGAGACAACTTAAATGCTGGGTGCAAGGGGCTAGTAACCCCTTCTGTATAAATTACTAAATTTAAAAAGAAAATTTTTGTTTTTCTTTTTAGGTCACCCTGCCTTGGTGGGATGTGGTGGGATGAATTTTCCTTCACATAAATTCTTTATAATTTTTTTTTTATTAACACATCAGCCGATTCCCAAGAAGGCAGGGTGGCCCGAAAAAGAAAAACTTTAATCATCATTCACTCCATCACTGTCTTGTCAGAGGCGTGCTTTACACTACAGTTATAAATCTGCAACATTAACACCCCTCCTTCAGAGTGCAGACACTGTACTTCCCATCTCCAGAACTCAAGTCCGCCCTGCCGGTTTCCCTGAATCCCTTCATAAATGTTACTTTGTTCACACTCCAACAGCATGTCAAGTATTAACCCTTTCAGCGTTTTCGGCATACTAGTATGGCTTACGCACCAGGGTTATTGACTTACTAGAACGCCTAAATTCTAGCGCCTTCAAATCTAGCGAGAGAAAGCTGGTAGGCCTACATATGAAAGAATGGGTCTATGTGGTCAGTGTGCGCAGTATAAAAAAAATCCTGCAGCACACAGTGCGTAATGAGAAAAAAAAACTTTGACCGTGTTTTTGGATTAAAACAGTGACTTTGCACTGTATTTTTGTATGGTATTTATGGTTGTATTCTGGCTTTCCTGGTCTCATTTTATAGAATGGAAGACATATTATAGAAATTGAGATGATTTTTATTGGTTTCACAATGAAAAGTACCTTGAAATTGAGCTCAAAGTAGCAGAAATGTTCAACTTTTACCAAAGTTCAGAAGTAAACAAATCATGCCAAGCATCCAATACACATCAACTGGTGAGTCTAATATTCTTTCACAAGTGTGCTGATATTATTTATACCATTTCTACACTAATGCAGTAGTCTGCATAACAATAAATCTTCTATTTTTTGTAAGAATAAAAATTCAAAGTGGAAGGCAAAAGAAATATAATAGGGGCCTGGGGACATGACTAATGAAGGAACTTGTTATTTTAGTGCCAGGAATGTCTGTCTTGTTTATTCTGGACCCTATTTGGAAATTGGCATCTTCTGAAATTTGTGTGAAATTGGCAAAATTGCCAATTTCTAACCACTTTATTGGATAGTTGAAATTGGTAAATGGGTGGTTTTTTGTACTCAATAGAAAAAATGAAGTTCTAGCGAATAAAATAAATATGATTTTTGTCAACTAGTACACAGGAATTGGCTGAAAAAAGGGCTCAAAGTTGGCGAAATTGCCGATGCGTAAACATCGGCGAGACCGCTAACTTCGCGAGAGCATAATTCCATAAGTTTTCCATCAAATTTCATACTTTTGGTGTCATTATGATCGGGAAAAGACTATCATTTCATAAGAAAAAATTATTTTTTTTTTCCCAAAAAATTTTCGACCCTGAGAACAAGTTCAGGAGAGGGCCTCTCGACCCTGAAAGGGTTAAAAACCATTTGTCTCCATTCACTCCTATCAAATATGCTCACGCATGCTTGCTGGAAGTACAAGCCCCTCACACACAAAACCTCCTTTACCCCCTCCCTTCAACCCTTCCTAGGCCAACCCCTACCACCTTCCCTCCACTACAGATTTACACTCGAAGCCATTCTGTTTTGTTCCATTCTCTCTACATGTCCAAACCACCTCAACAACCCCTCCTCAGCCCTCTGGATAATAGTTTTGGTAATCTCACGCCTCCTAATTTCCAAACTACGAATTCTCTGCATTATATTCACACCACACATTGCCCTCAGACATGACATCTCCACTGCCTCCAGCCTTCTCCTCGTTGCAACATTCATCACCCATGTTTCACACCCATACAAGACTGTTGGTACAGCTATACTCTCATACATTCCCCTCTTTGCTTCCACAGACAAAGTTCTTTGTCTCCACAGACTCCTAAGTACACCACTCACCCTTTTCCCCTCATCAATTCTATGATTCACGTCATCCTTCATAGACTCATTTGCTGACACGTCTACTCCTAAATATCTAAATACATTCACCTCCTCCATACTCTCTCCCTCCAATCTGATATCCAATCTTTTGTCACCTAATCTTTTTGTTATCCTCATAACCTTACTCTTTCCTATATTCACTTTTAACCCTTAAACTGTCCAAACGTAGATCAATGTTTGTGCGCGTAGCACTCCGACATTAATTTTCTCAATAAGAAACAATGTAAAAAAAAGTAAATCTACGTTCAGAGTGCTACGCGTGCAAACGTAGATCTACGTTTGAACAGTTTAAGGGTTAATTTTCTTCTTTTACATACCCTACTAAATTCATCCACCAACCTCTGCAACTTCTCTTCAGAATCTCCCAAAAACAGTGTCATCAGCAAAGAGCAGCTGTGACGACTCCCACTTTGTGTTTGATTCTTTATCTTTTAACTCCATACCTCTTGCCAAGACCCTAGCATTCACTTCTCTTACAATCCCATCTATAAATGTATTGAACAACCACGGTGACATCACACATCCTTGTCTAAGGCCTACTTTTACTGGGAAATAATCTCCCTCTCTCCTACATACCCTAACCTGAGCCTCACTATCCTCATAAAAACTCTTCACTGCCTTCAGTAACCTACCTCCTATACCATACACCTGCAACATCTGCCAAATTGCTCCCCTATCCACCCTGTCATATGCCTTTTCCAAATCCATAAATGCAACAAAAACCTCTTTACACTTATCTAAATACTGTTCACCTATATTAATCACTGTAAACACTTGGTCTACACCCCCCCCCACCATCCCTAAAGCCTCGTTGTTCATCTGCTATCCTCCTCTCCGTCCTACTCTTAATTCTTTCAGTAATAATTCTACCATAAACTTTACCAGTTATACTCAACAGACTTATTCCCCTGTAATTTTTGCACTCTCTTTTATCTCCTTTGCCTTTTAAACAAAGGAACTATGCATGCTCTCTGCCAATCCCTAGGTACCTTACCCTCTTCCATACATTTATTAAATAAATGTATGGAATTATATACACACAAACAAAATCATAGGTAGTAGGTTGGTAGACAGCAGCCACCCAGGGAGGTATTACTGTCCTGCCCAGTGAGTATAAAATGAAAGCCTGTAATTATTTTACATGATGGTAGGATTGCTAGTGTCTTATTTTCTGTCTCATAAACATCCAAGTTTTCAGGTACGTCTTGCTACTTCTCCTTACACTTAGATCACACTACACATGCATGTACAAGCATGTATATACACCCCTCTGGATTTTCTTCTATTTTCTTACTAGTTCTTGTTTATTTCCTCTTATCTCCATGGGGAAATGAAACAGACTTCTACCTCTGTACGCCATGCATGTTGTAAGAGGCAACTAAAATGCTGGGAGCAAGGGGCTAGTAACTCATTCTCCCATTTACATTTCTAAAGTTAAAAAGAGAAACTTTGTTTTTCTTTTTGGGCCTTCCTGCCTTGGTTTGATACGACCAGTTTGTTGAAAGAAAGAACGCACCAAAAATAACAATCGTACATTTACTTCACCAGTAGTCGACCATCAAACCGATAGTCAGGTTTCCTCACTATGTCTTAGTGAAATTGTTCACTGTAGGGTTCTACTTCACAAAAACTTTACATTTTTTTATTTGTCAACGAACTGGCTGTATTCCACCGAGGCAGGGTGACCTAAAAAGAAAGAGGAAAACTTTTCTTTTTTTAAATTTAGTAATTTATACAAGAAAAGGGGTTACTAGCCCCTTGCTCCTGACAGTTTAGTTGCCTCTTACAACATGCATAGTTTACAGAGGAAGAATTCGTTTCCACTTCCCCTCAGAGAAGAAACTATACATGTTGAAGCAAAATTTAAGTTCAGATTTGAATTCAGTATCCTAAAAATAGTTAGAAACATGGACAGGGATGTGTAATGTCCTACCTTATCTCCCAAAACATACTCAACCCCTGCCAATTTGGATTCAGGCCTAATAAAAATACTAATGATGCTATTATACACATGCTAGAACATATATACACTGCAATAGAGAAAAAAGAAGTCCCACTGGGGATCTTCATTGACTTACGTAAAGCTTTTGATACAGTTGACCATGACTTGCTCCACGTAAAATTGTCACACTATGGTATAAGAGGGCACTCCCTCAACTACCTCAAGTCTTACCTCAGCAACAGAAGCCAATATGTGTACGCAAATGGGGGAAAACTCTTCTGCACAACCAATTACAGTTGGTGTCCCACAGGAAGTGTCCTTGGCCCTCTTCTCTTTCTCCTATACATAAATACCTTCCAAATGCTTCGCAATTTCTCAAACCCACACTATTTGCAGATAACTACATACGTCTTCTCTCACCCGAGCCCAGTCACGCTAGCCAAAACTGTAAATACCGAATTTTCAGAAAATATCTACCTGGATGAGGACTAACAAACTTACACTAAACATTTACAAAACCTACTTCATTCAGTTTGGTAACAGAGCTACAGATGTCCCTCTTAACATAATGATAAATGGATCACCTATCACAAAACTAACAGAGGGAAAATTCTTTGGAATCCACCTTGATAATAGACTCAAATTTCATAAAACATATACATCAAATTTCTAAGAAAATTTTCCCAAAACTGTAGGCATACTATCGAAGATACGGTACTATGTTCCACAGTCAGCCCTCCTGGCCCTATATCACTCTCTTAAATTTTCCCCTATCTCACCTATGGAATTTGTGCATGGGCTCAACAACAATTAACCATCTCAACCACTAATT